GTCATGATAGTGGGGGGAAGGAAGCACCAAAGAACTAGAGGAAAGTTGTGTGTTTCATCGGTGCTGTTCTGCACCCTGACTGGCTCATCTCTTCCCTGGAACCCCTCTGTGAGGGGATGTTCCAGGCACGTTTCTTAGTAAGACCAAGGTGGTAGTAAAATTCAAAAATTCATTGACATCGTGTCAATTCCGACTGTAAAGCCCCTGTCTACCCACCCTAACCCAGAAGGAATAGCCCCGAATTCACGCTAAAAACAGTGCAGAACAGCGAAGACTCACAGCTGTACTAGAGGATGAGGAAATCATAAATATAACCAAACTTTCCGGAAGGCGCTTCCTCCTACTCACGCGCACTGAGCCGCTGCCTGGGCATAAGGACCCGCCTCTGGTAGAACTACAAGTCCCGGCATACCTAGCGCGACGGCGTCGCCTAGTAACTGGAGCATGCCGGCGCGCCCTAAGTTGGGTCGGCCTTGCGCCTGCGCCTTGGCGGTCTCTGCGCAGGCGCATTAACAATGCAGGGAGGAGGGGGCGGGGTGTCGTTCCCTTTCGCTGATGCAAGAGCCTAGTGCGGTGGTGGGAGAGGTATCCTTAGGACCGGCGCTGCTGCGGAGGCCTGGAGCTGACCTATCTGACTTCCCGTCCGTGCCGAACCCACTCGATCTGCAGCCATGTCCGGGGACGAGGTGAGAGCTTCGGCGTCGGGCTGAGTCCTGAGGCGGGGCGCCGAGCCCGCCTCCGTGTGGGACGCTGGGCCTGCGGCCTAGCGGCCGGCTGCCGCCATGTGGGACAGCCGGGCCTATGTGGCCCGGAGCCGGCGAAGACTCGGGAGCCGGGTTTGACCGCGCCCTGCTCTCCTCCGGACGGCGACGCGGAGGCCCTCGTTTCCGGGGGGCCGAGCCGCCGTTCTTGGAGAGGGCTGGACAAACTTGGGACTGGCGACCCCTGCCTGCCTTTAACTCCCGCCCGCCTCGCTCACCGCCGGGGGCGTGGAGAAGAGCCTCGTTCAAAACTTGTTCGATCGCCTGGCCCGGGCCGGTATCCCGCCTAGTGCCCACCTCGAGCTGTTTCTTTCAAACCCGGGGAGAGAGAGACGAGCGGGAGGGACCGACTAGCCCGCCGGGAGGTTTCCGGGCGGGAGTCCCCGAGTGCCCCTTATCGCGGCCACGGGAGCGGGAAGTGTGGACTCCGGAGCTGGACCTTGCCCCGCCAGCGTCCTGGCCCCACGCCGTGTTCCCTAAAGCCCCCTCTGCCGGATTTACCCCGGTTCACGTAAAATCCAGTGACCGGACGATGAAGTGGACTCGAAGTGCTATCAGTAGGCGTTGATTAGCATTGGGAGGGGCCCTGGCGCTTAGTAGCCGCGAGCCCCGCTCCCCCGCAAAAAAATGCTCTTACTTAAAACTGACTTGTGTAAACACGTGAGCCCGTGGCCCAGGGAGCGGGGAGGGGAAGCGTTGGAGGCTTCGGTGTGGAGCTGGTCGGAGGTCCGACTTGGCATTAGGAAGGCACCCGAGGGCCGGGGAGTGGTTCAGGTTGACGGGGAAGGGTGCTCACAGGAAGTGGAGTTTATCAATTTGGTTCTCGAGAAAGGAGTGATGATTGGCAAAGCAGGCCAAGTAGTTCATGAAGGGCTTTGGGACCAAGTTAAGGAATTTGGATTTTTATTCTAGAGCGGGCTTCAGTCTCATTTGGTTCTTGTAATAACCTTGTAAGACAGGTATCATTGTTAGGGCACATTTCGGATGAGTTCACCCTTGTTTCCTTTCTGTCATTCCGATTTTGCAAGCTTTCCTTGGCATTTAGCAAGGCATTTCACTCACACGGAATGCTGGTCTGTGTGTCTTCCAATGCTACATTGCTCACCGTGAGGTCGTTGGGCAGGTAAGGGACAACTGCACTCTAAGGCTGACACTAATACTTGCCACCAGAGTAGAAATAAGGCCATCAACAGCAATTTTAGGGTGAGTGCAGATGGCTTTGACCAGTGAGGGATCAGTTCTATAGGGAGTGGAATGTAAATAGATTATGAAAGGGGGAACAGGACTTTAAGGAGCAGAAATGACAGAGCTAGCAGGCAAGCTCAGGACAGTGGCACTAATAACATATTAGAGCAGCTTGGCACACCAGTGTACCCAGTCCAGTTTTACACACTGGGGAAACTGGGGCCCAGGGAGGTTAACGGGCACAAGATCACACAGCAGAAGGTGGCAGACTAGAACTTTAGATTTTCCCACACTGTGATCAGCGAAGAAGAGCCCTTCAAGGAGATGGGTTGGCACAGTGGTTGCAATGGTGGACTCGACGATAATGATGGTGAGGATAGGACAGGATCAGGGAGTGTTTCTGTTGTGATTGCAATGAGGCAGTGACTCAGAACCACATCCAAGGTCCTTCACAGGAACCATCACCAACACTGGGCTGGTGGGTGTGGTAAATGTGCTTTGCAAATGAGAAGGGGGTGTTTTATAAAAGGATCTCTAGTAAGCACTGTGGGAGTAAGCCTGCTAACCAGAACCCTCTCCTTGGCAGAAAGTAAGGTTCCTCACCCTCCTAAAAGATTTAGTCTCCAGATCTCTGTTGGGTCGTGATGAATTATTACCGACTGAGTGGCAGTGGGTCGGTGAAGGTTTTGAGTCTGAATGCAAAGGGAAATACAAATCTCTCAGAATCTTATCATCCAGAAGTGCCAACGCTCTTGCAACATTTTATGAAGATGCTTGGGAGCATCTCCTCTCTGTGGGTTAGTTTGTAACTCTTCCTCCTTTGGGGATGTGCCCACGAAGTGGATGGCTTGGGTAAAGTATGCTGAGAATAAGCTACCAATTTGATGATTTATTTCAGTCTATTGTTGGGTCATTTTTGTTGGTATCTATCTCATTTTCACACATCTACTCCAACAGAAATTGAAAATGAAATGTGCTTTTGAAAGTTTTCTTGTGAACTTAAAAAATGCTGAAGTGATTCTTTGATTTTTTTCCCCCCTAGGTGCACTGGCAGTAACTATTTGCTTCTCAAATCCAACTAGTTGGAACATAACTGATAATTTGAAAGTCAGAACTCAATGGTCTTAGAAAGTTTTTGTTTTTAAGTTAAGCCTAATATGGCCTTGTATAGGTATTGGGCAGATCTACTTTGGGACTCTTGCTTTTTATCTGCTTCCTTATTTATAAACTGAACACCAGTGGCAATGGTTGTTAGCTGTTGGACTGCTAATTGCAAGGTCAGCGGTTCAAATCCACCAGCCACCCCTTGGGAGAAAGATGAGGCTTTATGCTCCTATAAACATTAAAAGCCTCAGAAAAGGTTGTTAAGGGTTGGAATTGATGGTGGGTTTGATACTTTGGATTTGCAAGGTTGGTGTAAAATAAGACAAGCATAGGTGGCTTCTAAAAGTGTGTGTGTGTGTGTGTGTGTGTGTGTCATTTTCCCAATGCATCAGAGAGATGTCAATTACTTCAGTGTGTAATTCCCGCACGTTTACTACCCTTTACCAAGACTACAGTCAAACAGAAGCTTATAAACCTAAGTACCGGTAGATGGTTTTTGAGGGGCTAATGGAGGTAGTTGTGAGGCTGTCTTCCAGTGATTTCAGGATCCCAACCATCTTGGGTCTGTCTTGCTGAATAGTAGTTACAAGGCAATTCATATTCTTGGGACTCGGTGCTTGGAAAAATGCAATGAATGAATTGTAACCCCTGCCAGATGACCAAATTTATAGTGCTTGGAAGGTAGCCTGCCCTTTTTGCCAGGTCTTCCTACTTCAGGAATGAGGCTGACCTGTAGCTACTCCCTGCAACAGATTGCAGTGCTCCGAGTAGGATGGCTCAAGACCCAGTAGGTTACCAGTGGGGGGGGGCTCTCTCCCATTGGCTCTTCTTAAGACGGAACTGACTCTCCTTTAAACTTGCTGGCTGAAGGCATCTCAGAATTATTTACCCAATTGCATCGTTGTTAAGAGTATGGCTCACACTTCGTGTGAGGACCTGCCTGCCAGGTACTGCGCCAAGCCTTATGACTTTCTGGACTCATTTAATCTTCCCAGTAACTTTGTGGGGTTACTTGTGGTCTTGCTATTCAACAGATCTGTAAGTTATAAATTAGATTTTCACTGTTTCTATAGTAGAGCTTTTAAATATTTTCTATCATAGAGCATTTGATAATGTTTTAGAAACAAGCAAGTAAAAGGTTCCTCTTAGTTCCGAGATTTTGCTGCTGGATTTCTTTAAAGGCTTGTTTGAGTGTTAGGAGTTTAAAAAAAAAAAAAGGAAAGATCAGGCTTCCTGATAGGGTCACCATGGGCAACTAACCAAAGGAAGCAGTCACAACCTGCCCGGGCATTGGTTTTCCTAACTCTAAACTGAGGCGCTTACTAATGTCCCTTTCTCAAATGTTATGATGTATTTGTAAAGTCTCCACATTTGCTCATGAAACTAAAAGTGAAGTTACTGTGTTTTTTGGCACTTTACAAATTACAGGACATGTGTTCACATTTCAGACACCAAGATGTTTAATATTTAATAGTCTGAGTAAAGTTTGAACAGACAATTTTACTTTGGGCAGTAAAACCCTCAGTGCATCAAATGCTCATATTCTTTCCAGAGTGTTTTTGAGGATACAGCACATTTGAAATGTGAGCAGTAAACACCATCGCTTGTTCTCTTACCTTTTTTTTGCCTTTGAAACAGATGATCTTTGATCCTACTATGAGCAAGAAGAAGAAGAAGAAGAAGAAGCCCTTTATGCTGGATGAGGAAGGGGATGCACAGACTGAAGAAACCCAACTCTCAGAAACAAAGGAAGTGGAGCCAGAGCCAACCGAGGACAAAGATGTGGAAGCTGATGAGGAGGACAGTAGGAAAAAAGGTAAGTATTTGACATGAAGGGGCCTCGTTGTTGTCAGAAGCCTGATTCTCTTTGGTCGGTGTTAAGTTTTGTCCTTAGTGACTTAAGTCCGTTAGCGCTCCTCTGGTGAAATTAAGGCCATCAGCTCCCTGTGTGCCATGGGCTGGGCCAACCTTCTTGATAGGCTTGCTCTTGGTAAATTCCCACCCAATTCACAGGTTGCAGAGATGTTGAAACTTCCATCATTCCAGAATTGGTCTTCCACTCTTAACTTGTTTCTTCTCCAACTTTAGTGGTGTAGTCAAGAAAAATTGGCCCAAGGTAGGCAGTTGTTTTTTGTGTCTTTTCAGGTAGGAAAAACATGCCATCCAGCTGAGATGAAAATAATACTCTATAAAGTGTTTGGAGTTAGATCCATGCCTTGTTAGTCACAGTGGTGCTGTAACATATACTCCTATATATGTTTCAGTTAACCTAATTAGTGTCTGGGGAATATTAGACACTGCTGGGGACAGAGAGAACTAATATTTATTGAGCAACTACCCTGTGCTAATATCTTATACATGTTTAAAACCAACTTGAAGACAAGTCATAAGTCGTTCCTTGAAGACCAGCCTCTGAACTATTTCCAGTTCCAAGTACACACTGGTCTCTCAGGTCTAGGCTTCACATGGGTCCTGCCAGAAGTGGGACAAGCTAGAGTCTCGGAGTGTGTGAGCCCTGGCTTTGTCCTAGGAGACAATGGGGAGTCACTGAAGGGCAATGAAGCGATCTGATTTACCAGACACATTTTCCCAGCATGGTCCCCGAACCAGATTTTTCTGTTTATAAAGTTTTGGATTTTGCAGAACTGTAACTTATGTGGTTGCTCAGGTATGACTGTACTGCTTCATATCAGATCTCTTCATAGTTGAAATGCACTCGCTTAACTTGTAATTTAAGGTTTTGTTTCTGCAAGTTGTTTATAATTGACAGTCTCTGTCTGATCTGCCCTTTTCAGATGCTTCAGATGATCTAGATGACTTGAACTTTTTTAATCAAAAGAAAAAGAAGAAAAAAACTAAAAAGATATTTGATATCGATGAAGCTGAAGAAGGCATAAAGGTAGTATTAAGTATCGATTGCTTTCTTGCTGGTCTTTTCAAAGATTGCTGGCAGCTGTTGTTGCTCCTTTGTTCCATCTCTTACTAGTCACCACTGTTAAGGTCATCTTCTTGGTAATATGTTTGGCGGGGTACCCTAAAGAAAAAATAAAGCTCAAAACCAAATGCAAGGCCATAGGATTGATACTGACTCCTAGCAACTCTCTAGGACTGTGTAGAACTGCCCCTGTCAGTTTCTGAGACGAACCTTGACGGGGAGAAAGCCCCATCCTTTCTCTTGCAGAGTGACTGGTGGTTTCGAACTCTAGCTTTCCAGTGAGCAGGCCCCTGTTTAACCACTTGGCCACCAGCGCTCCTTTAAAGGAATATAAAGGGGCTTCAAAAAGTTTGTGGGAAATAGAATTGAAAGATGAGGGTCCTCATTTTTCCACAAATTTTTGAAGCCCCCCTCAGATAAACTTAGGTCTTATCAGTTGTAATATGTGTCATTAAGGTGATTATAAAATGCCCTTTGACCACAATCCTATTGAGGTTGTTAGGCTGCTTAGAGATTTTGGTAAGAAATCTGTGAGAGAGAAAAAAAATTTCTATTGTTTCTTCCATTTTACTTGTGGTGGTTTGCTGAATGGACTGAAACTTCTGAGCGTTCAAGAATGAGTCCCAGCTGCTGCTGATAGTGTGGCCTACGGGAGCTGAAGCCGTCAGGCCGCTTGCACATCTGGTCTGGTGGGGATCTGACCCTGCAATAGTTGGACTATACTACTGGATTGGTTTCCAGTCCTCTTCTTTCAACAAACAGATTTCGAACCAAGAACAGAAAGCTAACGTGGGTAGGGAGGTGGATCAGAGGATGGCGGGAACTGAAAACTTGTTCTTCCCCTTCGTAGAACTACCCTTTTATACACTCTCCAGGAAGCAATTTAGCAGAGCCCGGACATCTGTTTAGAAGGCGCATGTTTTATAAATATGAATATGTGTGTGTGCGCAGAGAGATCTATATACCTCACTTATCCCATTATGTGTCCTCTACAGTATTTTGAAAGCCAAGTTTTTATTTCGGTATTTCTTGTATTTGAAATATTCTCTGATTGCTTGGTTGACCTGAGGCTCTTGACCATAGTTCTTACCAAGCACCTAACGGCAACAAAACACAGGAGAGGGTTTCTTAACAGTTTGGCGTCTGGCAACACGTTCTTGTTGGCCTCAGTCAGATGGATTTTGGGTTTAGCACAAAGGGCCTCGACCAAATTGACGCCGACAAACAGAAGATCAGCGCAGTTGGATGCAAGCACATACGTGCGGCCGTGCTTGTTGAAGCCTTTGGCTGCTTCACCAAGTCCATGTACAAGGCTCCTCTTGCTGGCAGTTGGTTGTGGGTGAGCTGAATCTTGACTCAGAAGTGGTAGGGAAGGAGAGTCCAGATTTTCCTTTGGTAAATAGCTTATAAGTTCAAACCTAAGTAAATAGGAGTGTATCTCACACATTGTGGGAATTATGTATTTCCTTGAGTTTTAGAAATAATATTCTAATTTTGATAATTTGGTTGGTGCTTAACTGAGTCCAGTTTTATGTGTGCTAATTGCTAGAGACACCGAAGTGAATGCTCAGCTTCTTTGTTTTCAGAGCTATTTTTTGTAACTAGGTAACTTAGAATCCTGGATCTCTTGATCTCTCCTGGCTTGGGACTCTCTTTCTTAGGATCTTAAACTTGAAGGTGATGTTCAAGAGCCAGCTGAGCCAGAGGATGACCTTGACATTATGCTTGGCAATAAAAAGAAGAAAAAGAAGAATGTCAAGTTCCCAGACGAGGATGAAATCCTAGAGAAAGACGAAGGTAATGCTGACTACTTGGCTGCTGGTTTCTAGCTTCCTGAGGCCTTTGGCCTGGTCTTTTGGTGTGAGGCTCTTTTTTTGGTTTCCTTAAAAGTACTCTTTCAGTATACCTAATGCTGTAGGGTCTGTAGTTGGCAGGTGGGTTTTTATGGGAGTGGATGTACCAGAAGTGCTGTGTAACAGTTAGCCTCTGTTTAATATATTAATGCAGTATTTTCTCTTGTGTTCATTAAATCAGTGTGTCTGTTATCTCACCTTCCTAATTGAAGAGGTTTCCATGGAGGGACTTTTTTGAAAAGTCTACCATTCTGGTCTTTAAGGGAAAATGGCCATTGATGGGACTTGATACCTATTTTTGAGGTTAATGATAATGCGTGCTGTTGAGGGAGGAAAGGCAAATGTCTGGGAAGTTTTTGTTCTCTAGCTGTCTAGAGAGGGGCCCGCTCCTCATTCATAGTCTTTGTGATTCGCAGCTTTAGAGGATGAAGACAGCAAAAAAGATGACGGCATATCATTCAGTAACCAGATAGGCCCTGCCTGGGCCGGCTCAGAACGAGACTACACGTATGAGGAGGTAAGACAATTTTTGTTTTCGCGGGAGGCTGAGCTGTTTGCTAAAGCTCAAAGACAAATGAGGTCATTGTCCCTCAGGTAGTTGCATCAGAAGGGCCGTTGAGGTTCAGATTGGTTGTGAAACAGACCCAAAGTGGTGAGCCCAGACAGCCAGTGAACACATTCTTGATGTCCACCGTCCCCGTCTGAGTCAACTGAGGGCCTGGGGCCTTCTAGAAATCATGGGGGTTGGAGGTTGGCACTGGGCAGCAGTGAGGACAAGTAAGGGCTCTTCTGGACCAGGGCAGGCTAGAGCTTCCTTGCTTGGGCTTTTCTGAATCTGACTTCTTCCCGTCACACACTCCCATAGAAGCAGCAGAATGAGGGAAGAGCTGCTGGAGTATTCATTTACCTCTGAGCAAGGAGTGGTTGAGCAGCATAGTGTCAGCAGCTCCTGACTGCCGTGGCGGTGGTGTCTGCCTCAAGGAGCTCCCAGGAGATGCAGTGCTGTTTGTCTTTAGTAAACAGGGATGTCTGTGCTGTGGGCTCCAGTGGAACTTTATATATAGTCCTGCTGTTCACAAAGAACGTATGTGATAATCACCCTTACCCTTTATAGCTACTGAACCGAGTGTTCAACATCATGCGTGAAAAGAATCCAGATATGGTTGCTGGAGAGAAGAGGAAATTTGTCATGAAACCTCCACAGGTCGTCCGAGTAGGAACCAAGAAAACATCTTTTGTCAACTTTACAGATATTTGCAAACTGTAAGTTGATTAATGGAATGTCTTTTTCCCAAATACCAGGTTCTCTGTGGAGCTGTAAGTACGCTAAACACCCTTGCTGTGAATTTGCTGCAGGTAGAAAGGAAGAATGCACAGGGATCAGGGTTGGGTTGAGCGAGGTCACAGTTCAGGTCTGTTACAGAGCTCATGTTATCAGAAGCTACCACATGACGACCATGAACGCAGAAGGCACTGAGAGCTGCGGAGGCCAGTAGGCTCCTCAGGTTGGGGTGGGCTTGCCCCCGCCTGCACGCAGTGAAGCCTGAGAAAATGGCTGCATTTGGGGGCCTCTTCCTTGGATGGTCATCCATCTGTCAGGAGTTGACGGGTTTCCCATACCATCCTGTGATGTCCAGCCATCAGGGACGCCCGGCTCCATCTTAGGGCCAGGGCACCTGACCTCATTTAGCATTTGTTCTGTAGTTTCATAAGTGATAGATGTTTGGTTTTTTTTGGTGGGGGGGAAAGGGGGAAACGCTGGTAAACAAGGGATAAAAATTATGCCAAATGTCACCAGCCAGTGAAGGCATTGTTTAAAATATTTTAGACTGTTCTGCTAACTACCAATAGTGTATATATGCTCATTATTTAAAAAAGAAAAAAAGAAAATATAAACATGGTTAAGGGAGGGGGAATCACATGTAATGTAATCCTGTCAGATAGCCATGGTTTTACGTCTGGGTATAGCCAGTTTGTGCACATAAGCATTTTAATAATCATCATAAATGTTTCCAATGGCTGCACAGTATATTCAATAGTTTCTCAAAGTCGGACTTGTTTGCTCCACGTTTTCTTTAGAGCATGGAATTGTTTTCCAGCAATGTAGGAACTTAATTTTTTTACCTATTAAATTATAATAGTAGGACCAGCTTGTTAGAACAAATGCCAACAGTGCCAAAGGGTTTAGAATTTTAAAAAATTTAATTGTCAATGGTACTGTACTGTTTACTCTTCTCCTTTGTATGTGCAGTCGTTTAATATAAACAGAGACACCCACCTTGTTCTCAAAAGCAGGACCATACTATAATTTAACCAGCTCTCAGTTGAATGTTTAAACTGCCTCCAACTTTCCTCCTTTGTACATTGTGTGGTTAGGACTTTGAAGAAAAATTTCAAACTGATATAAGAATTAGCATAATAAACCCCAAGAATCTATCCTAGGCATGGTGTATATCGACATGTTGACACATATGCTTCAGATCTTTGTATTCTTTTAAAAGGTTTTACGGTTAAAATACAGCCATGTTTTTAAAACAATGTGTCTTCCTTCCCAGAGTCGACCTTAAGGCAGTGTTTTCCTTGTCTGTCCATGTTCCTAGACGTTTGGTCAAGCAGGCATTCATAAATAGCACACCATAAGGAAGCTTCAAAAACTTTGTGTGAGGAAATTCATCTTTTAATGCATTTTTCCCATGAATATTGTTTTATGGGCTTTAATATTAAATACTGTATTTATATAGACTTGAACCGTGCACTGAAATTCACCTGAGCTGAGTAATCAGAGAGGAAAACTGAAAACAGGATGTTTTTTGAGAATCTTGGTCATGTTTCAGGAAAGATAAAATTTGTATATTATTATTATTTTAGATTGCATCGTCAGCCCAAACATCTCCTTGCATTTTTACTGGCTGAGTTGGGTACAAGGTAAGAAACTGGATTCACGTTTACTATATATACTCGTGGGAAAGCCGAGTTTTTCAGCACATTTTAAATGCCGTTTTGATGGTAAAGTTAGGTGCCCCGGCTGATATTTGGGTCGACTTATACTTGAGTAAATGCGGTATAGGTAGCATTACTGGACATCTCGGAAGAGCCTACCTTGGGAAGACTTGGTAGCACCCTCAGGAAGCATCAGCTGGCTCTCAGAAGGGCTCTTGGGGGAGGCATCACTTGTCAGCACTTGGACCACTTCAGGGTTGTAGCAGCACACCTGAACAGGCCTGCTGCTGTGTTGCTCTGAGTGCATGGCTCTGCCACATTTCCCGTCCGTATTCTACACTGTTGTGCCTGTTCATAGAACTATTAGATGATTGCAGAGGATGTCAGAGTTATTTTATGTTTTGTCCTGAATTGCAGTCACAGGCTATTGAAATCCCACTTGTAAGTTGTTGAGTGGCATGGCAGAAACCTTTGAAATAGGGATTAGTGATTAAACAGCTACTACCCTGTCTTCAGGGCACCTCAATATTTGGGTGGCTAAAGGCCCCAGGGAGCCCATCTGTCAGTCATCATCATGAGCTGAGTGGCCGAATGTCCCTTTAAAGATAAATCAGATAGACTTCTATGGAGCTAGTTATTGGCACAGTTAAGATATAGACCCAGGGCCATCTGTCTCTGGGCCTTTAAAGGTATGTTACTGTGCCTTGGGCATGCAGAGCCTGTGTTTTCTCTCCCTGTTCTCCCAAGGTCCCGTTAAGTAACAGCAAGCTATCCTTGCTGTGGGTCTAAGGAGTGATAACACTATACCTGGTGGCACAGTGAGTAAGCCCTCGGCTCCCAACTGATCTCGCTAGCCATTCTATAGGAACCAGTGGGGGCAGCCCATGTCAGTCAAGGTGAGGGCCTCTGACCTCTAGTTCAGGGCTATCGTCAGAACCAGTGCAGTTGCACTGGGTTGTGGTGGGATGTAGGCGTTTTCTTTTCTTGGTAACAGTTGTTTGAATAGTAGTCTTTTCTGCTTCTTAGGATAATTTATGAATTTGACAGAGGTAGGACTAAAACTAGAGGATTATTGAGAAAGTGCCTTTGCTTTGGCAGGCAGTGAATATAAACCATTTCCTCGAGACACAGGGATCACTGGGACCTGGAAACTTAAGTGTCCCAGTGTCCAGGGTTAATGGAGAATTGTTGAGTCGGCTTTATGACAGAGAAACAGAATACCTTCAAATCTAACTCCATCTGGTGGAATATTGTGATTTGTAATTTTTAACAAATGATTAATACCTAGCTTAGAATTTTGCTTTCTCAAAAATGCTTTTCAGTGGCTTCTTTGAAAGGTCATTTAGTTCTATCGACAATTTATGGCCTGTCCTTTTTGGGGTGGGGGTAATAGCTTAATTGAGGTAAATTCACACAAGTGGAATGTTGGGTGATGTTTAGCATATTCAGCTAAAAGTTTGTTGGCTAAATGGGTTATCATTATTAAGGAATCCATGTCTTGTACCTAAAATCCAATAATTCATTGTTTTCACACTTAATTGGTTGACATTAGATTTAATGTTAGGATTTAAAGGAAATAGCAGCTAGATAGGCCAGCACTTTGTCTTTTTATAACATTAAATATCTCCATGTCATTACATATAAAAGTCCTAATCCTAGGACTTTCGTTATAGGAAAGGTCATTTTAATGGAGATGTTTTTGTCTTTTGTAGTGGTTCTATAGATGGTAATAACCAACTTGTAATCAAAGGACGATTCCAACAGAAACAGATAGAAAATGTCTTGAGAAGATACATCAGTAAGTATGGGAGTGCCTTCTACCCCATCATGGGGGTGTTCTCAGCAGACTGCTTAAACTTAAGATTTGGGGGGGAAAGGATAGGGAATGAGGAGGCGGCTGTAGACTACGGGAAGGTATTGGGAAAGGTTCCGGTTCTCCCCAGCAGTCGAGCTGACTGAAGCTGCTGCAAGTAGGCTGCCACCAATCAAGAAACTTGTCTGATTGAGACATGCCTGCCCTTTGCTGTCTTCCTGACCTATCAAGACTGGCCTGCCTACCCGTTCCTACCTAGGAGGGTCAGGAGGTTCCCACTCCTTGCTAAGTAGGCAGTTGGTACACTCTCTTGCCTCCTTGGACAATGGGATCCTTTACAACCCACACTTAATGCTGGAAGCATCACAGTGGACTGCCTGTGCTTCCTGGCCTGCGTGCCACGTGTGGTACATAACCCATCACGTGCCACGTGTAGTACATAACCCATCACGTCCGCCTGAGACTTGGGCCCCAGAGTCGTGTGCTTGAGGGCAGACACCACATAATGCTGTGTACTCTTCCCACAGAGGAATACGTCACCTGTCACACATGCCGATCACCGGACACGATCCTGCAGAAGGACACCCGACTTTATTTCTTACAGTGCGAAACTTGTCACTCTCGATGCTCTGTTGCCAGCATCAAAACCGGCTTCCAGGCTGTCACAGGCAAGCGAGCACAGCTCCGTGCCAAAGCTAACTAATTTACTAATCACCACTGATTCTGCAAAATGTATTGTGGAGATTTGGCTGGACAGGTTTACCACCAGAGTGGCTACACCATTGTATTGAAACAAGATAGAAAAGCTGCCAAGTGCTTTGGCTTGTGACTGGTTGGATGTGAAATCCTTGCAAGATGCTGAGGCCTGAGCTGTCGACATCCTCATTGCCTACTTAACAACTGTCAGAGAAATATGATGGGGTGAGGAGGTGCTTTTTAAAAATCGTTCATAGACTTCTGTAAAATGCAAGATAAATTAAAGTTATTATAACAGTGATTCTTCCAATTTGATTTGTCGTTTAGTTTTTTTTATAGAACATTTGTACTTGAATACAGCAAAGTTTGTGCCTGGGCTCTGGTAAGCCTCTAGCTTCATCCTGAGAAAACTACATTGGCAGGCACTTCAGCTGGGCCACCCCTTCACACAAGACAAAATTCAGCTAAAGATCTGGGAGGGACTGCCTGAGGCCAGTGTCTAAGTACAGAGATTTGACCCGTTTTTGATGTGGGGTCTGTTGCTGCTACCTCACTGCTAAGTCCTCCAGCTCTCACCCCGTGAGGAGGGAATACAAGGTGCTAGGCCTCCTCACCAGCTAGTCTTAAACACACAACCTCTAAGTGTGTGCTTTAACGGGCACGCTGAGAAGGGCTGTGCAGGGATCTCCTCTGAGGAGAGTCCAGGTGGCAATGGACCCCCTCGAATTAGGTCCCCTTTCAAAAAGGCTTGCCACATGCTAATTTGTTTTCTGTATTAAAGAAGCTTTTGAATGTGGTCCTGAGATAACCAAGAGATGCTGTCTGTGTGGTACACTCTGCACTTCATTCCTAGCATTTGGCTGATGGACATTTCTCCACTGGAGCACGGGGCGCCATGACCATGTTTCTGTGGTGGTCTGTCTGCCTGACACACTGAGGACACACGTGCTGCTCTAGACAATTGTTCCTATGCAGCCCAGCAGCAGTCACATCTGCCCAGGATGCCATGACTGTTGTTAATCACTGTGACCCTCCAATGCAAAGTACACGCCACGTGCTGCACAGTACCCAGGCCCTGAGGGAGGAGCAGCATTCCTTCAAACCAGTAGGCCCTTGTGAATGGCCACACAGGCTGTCATGGGAACTGGATTGCCGTGTTTTTTAATTTTGTATCTATGTTCACACAATTTCCCAGTTTTCCTGGACAGTTTTTTGTTTCAAACTACTATTGGACAGCACTGCTGGGTGGAACCCAGGTTTCCGAAGACATTGAGTTTGGAGAAGCTGTAACAAATGTTGGGATGTTACTGCGTGAATAAAGCAAGGATCAGTGCCTCCTGTGTAATTAGTACTGCTGTTTGTGTGTGTACGTGCACTTACTTTCTTAGTGGGACCCCTAACAAAAGAGGTGACAACAGATTTGGGACAGGTTGGGGGACAGGCTAACACCTCTTGACTTTGTTTTTTAACTGGTTCTCGGGTCTGACCCTGGTCCTTCAAGTATTTTGTCCACTGGGATATTGGCTAAAACAGCATCGACTATTAAAGAATCGTAACCTGTACAGTAGCACCAACCACAGCTGTTGGAACCTTGCTATTGGTTGACAGCAAAGGGAATGGAGAACCGCACTCTTGCCAGGTTTACATTGGAACAGAGCATCTTTTCAACACAAGACTTGTGCCATGTGGACAATGAAGTAAACTTTTGAGCTCCCATAATTCTACCAATAGCAGCTCTGTGTGTCAAGGGCACCCCTGCCTGCAGGAGTAGAATTAAAAATGTATAAATCTTGGGTTTTATTAATGGTTTACCATCATTAAATTAGTTCCCTATGCTAAGTGAGTATTAATGGTTTACCATCATTAAATTAGTTCCCTATGCTAAGTGAGTGGGGAATTAGCTAATTATTGGTAATTCGGACAAAGGGCTCCGGAGAGTCCTCCCATTTACTTGTGTGCTTATTTATAGACTGAGTAGATAACCTATCTTGAAGGGGTGATGGTGAGATGATGTGTGTGAAATGCTTTAACCCCAGCCTGGCTGGCACAAAGAACATTTTCTTTTGAATACTCCCCCTTAGACTGAGTCTCCAGCGGTGCCAATCAGAGGGTTAAAGCCTTGTCACAGCTGGTAATACCTACCATATATACTCAAGTATAAGCCGAACCAAATACCAGCCAGGCATCTAATTTTACCACAAAAACTGCATTAAGTGTGCTAGGAAATTTGGCTTATACTCGGGTATATAGGACAACAACCCAAAGGGTGATAACAGTTGGCCCTGCCAAGTATGCACTTCTTGCGCCAAGTTCTAGAGCCTAGGTGTCACCCTTTTTGTGGTGAGGCAGGTCTGCCTGCTGCACCATTTTCCCTTTTTCTTTTCACAAACCTGGATGAGCCTGCCATGCTTAGAACAGAGGCCTGGTCTTCAGAGCTTTGTGGCATGTATGGCCAGGCTCTGATAGGATCAAATAACCCAGCTGAGGGCCACAGCTCCTGCCCTTCCAAGCTTCCCAGACTTTACAAGACAGCCCAAAACCTGTATCACTGCCCACTCACTTAAAAGGGGCTTCAGTTTTATTACTAACATCTGAAGCCTTGGAGGACCAAGTATTAATGACCAGTCTTCATATTAAACGACTCCACTTAATGGACAGCTTTTAAAATTATACTCCTCAGTTGTAGCTTTTCATGAGCTTTTAAATGGGCCAGAAACCAAATCAAAGCCAAAACCTACGATGGGAAGTTGGTCAAGCCTAATCATATCCTCAGTAACAACAGTTGTAGATCAAAACGGGTTTGAGTGAGAATGAAGATGGCTTCATTCTTCAATCCCAGAGGCACTAGCACACTATGACAGATGCCTCACGTGAACCAGAATCTGAACTATTCTTAAATCATTGTTAATGTACAAATGACTAACATCACCGACGCCTTTATTATGTGCCAGGCCCGGTTCTAGGTACTTCCTAAATCTATACACACCCATTTAATCTTCACAGCAGCCCTTCCAGCTGGGTGTCCCACGATCCCAGTTTTCTGGATGAAGTAATGGAGACTCAGGTTAAGTCACTTGTCTTAATAACTGATAAGAGACCCAGGCATTTGGGCTTTGGAGCCTCTGCTCTTAAGCACTGCAATGGTGCCTCTCAATGACATGTTAGAAAGTACAAGGGTGCTTCCAAGAGTTCATGGAAATTTTCTATTATCTTTTTATTGCAATCCCATGAACTTTTCTCCATAAGCCCCCTGATTACCCAAGTGTCTGCAGTGAAAGGTAGTTCCTGGCCCCAGCTTACAGGCTAGTGGAGTCAGATGAGCAAACCAGTGGAGATACAATCTGGGAAGAAGTGTAATGAAGTCTTACACAGAGGGACGATCAAAGTGTCCTTGAGAAGGCAACTTCTGAGCTGGGCTGTGAGAGGTAACTAAGGTGAAGCAGCGTGAGAAGAGGCAACAGGTGCATACAGCACAGAGGCCTAGACTGCAGAGTCCTTCCCACAAATAGTTTGATGTGGCTTGAGAATGGGGACAGAGTAGGGGAGGAGATGGATCTCGAGGAAGGTGGCAGATCCCTGAGGGCATATATCATGTATTTGATGGAGCGGACAATGAAGGAAATAAACTCCAAACTCACTGCCATTGAGTCGGTTTTGACTCATAGCGACCCTACAGGACAGGATAGATGCAGGTTTCTGAAGGCCAAATCTTTACAGGAGTAAGCCTCATCTTTCTCCTACAAAGCTCCTGGTGTTTTTAAACTGCTGACGACTCACTGCCCAACTTGTTTAAGTCACTATGCCACCTGAGCTTTTACAGTGGGAAGTCAGAGGCAGGTCATTATTGCAAAAGCCCAACCAAAGGTAATGGTGATGGAAAGGAAGCCAGAGGCAAACACCAAGCCAATGGAATGAACCTGATCTGTCATTAGGGAGGAGTAGAAGATGCTGCGGGGACCTGTGGTGCCATTCCCCAAGATGGTGAGCTCGTGGAGATAGACTGGAGGCTGCCAGGACATTCACAGACATGCCCAGGGAAGGGAATTTTTACTGCCTGGTTGGCTGTGGCTCTGGTTTTGGGTCTCCATGGGATGTTCACTGGCTCCCTGACTGATGTCTGCCAGCTGATCCTGGCACTCCGCTGCAATTTCTACACAGCTTCTCCAGGTGGCTTGGGCTTCTTCACATCATCTCAACTGGTTCCAAGGGAGTGTCCAAAGAGACAAGACGTTAAAGCGGCTAGTTTCTCAAGAGCTGGCAGGGACATGGTATAGCACCACAGGAGAGACGATCTCCCCCTCGTCATACTCTCATGCTTACTATGAAGGCACAGAAGCACACAGTGAACACGGCAGTTCCTTCTTTCTACCAGTAACCGAACCTTTATCTTTCAGGGAAGGAGTCTCCTGTCTCACCCTCTAGCTTGTAGGCTCTCCAATTCTGCCTGAGGGACCCCAACACTGAGTGGCAGAGCTGAGGAACAGAGGGAAGGGCCTCATGGCAGCTTCTGAACACCTGGGGCCCACTGTGCCTGAAGACTCAGCCCTGGACTTCATCAATCAGTAGACTTGCTCCTACTTAAGGAGGTTCCCTTTTCTGTAATTCACAATAGGAAGTTCTCACCGTGTCCACTTCTGGGGTTGTGGTGATTTAAATCGGTATAAAATGTGCCTGGTACATCACAACCATATTCAGGAAGTGACTGGTCATTATGAAGAATAGCTGCATGTTTTTGATCAGCCCAAAGCCCCTGTGAATCAGTGGTCAGACTGGGATTCAATTTCAGGACAGCTGGCCCACAATCTTTTGCCCTGTTCCGTTCTGTACTTCTGTTTAGCAAAGAATGAATGCCCTCACGGGACAGGACATGATCTTATGGGGTCAACCTGGCAAGAAATGGCAAATACAAGGGGGCATCAGAAAGTTCTCAGAAGATTGGAACTAAAGATAATGGATTTTCCCCATGAACTTCACGCCTCAGGCCCCTGACTTAGCACCCATGTACCCGTATTTCAATACCTTGCCCTTAACACCAAACCCAACCCACTGACATCGAGTTTATACCCAATCATAGTTACCCCAAACACATTACGGTCCCCCATCAACTATGTACTAGCCTAACAGAGCACAGAGTCCTCAACAAGCAATTTGGGTCGTCCAGTCTGTTCCGAGTTGGCAGGGGAACGGATGGATGCCTGAGAAAGTTGAACAAACAAGCCACGGCCATGTTCAGAAGCCCCTGGAGTCACGTGAATGGCTTTGGCCAAAGGGGCCTTATAAACCTGACACCAGCAGGAGCTTGAGAAGTATCTGCGGCGGGTCTTGCCCGCTTCTTGTGTTCTTCTACCCCATCGCTGTGTACAGAAACCTGGGTCAGGCGGCCCATTGTCCCAACACAGGGCATGTGAGTGAGGATGCCTGCGACCAACCAATCCCCAGCCCATCTGCAAGCTCACTTCAGCCACGAGAACTTGCATGTGACAAGGAGAACTGACCAGCTGAGCCAAAGTGCCAAGCCACCGAGTGAAGAGCAATGTCAAAAGTGAGTAATCTGGGTGGTTTGTGGTGTGACAGTCGACAGCTGCCATGAGGCCCATTGGTGAGCCCTGGTCGAAGGCAGCCCCTTCTCCTGCACTTTTTCCAGCTTTCCGGATGGAGCCTTTTGTTTTGACTGAGGGGGGCCGAGTCCAGGGAAACTCTTAAGGGGCTGTTCTCACAGCCTAGGCCTCATCTCTTAGAGCAGTGGTTCTCAACTTTCCTAATGCTGCGACCCTTGAACAGTTCATGTTGTGGTGACCCCTAAATCATAAAATTATTTTCATTGCTACTTTATAACTTAATTTTGCTACTGTTATGAATTGGGCGACCCCTGTCAAAGGGTTGTTCAACCCCCAAAGGGGTCGCAACCCACAGGTTGAGTACCGCTGTCTTAAGAGGGTTGTCAGTCTGCACCCTTCACAGAATTTTATACCATCACTCTCCCATTGCTACAAGCAAAGCTATGGGGACTGTGATCTGCACTGGGCAGAAAGGGCCTGGGAACCACACCAAGAGGCAATGGCTAAGAAGAGGCTGGGGCCCTTGGCTCAGCTGTGTTCCGGTCTCCCCGCAGCTCATGCCAAAGCCCAGACCCGGAGAGCCTAGAAGTTTGAACTGCTGGCCTGCCAGTGCCAACAGGCAAGAGATCCACCTACTGAAGGAGAGAGGCAACAACGCACATTAGGGGTTTCCACGCCCAGGAAAGCAGAGTGCTATCCCAAGCCCAACCTCCCCTCCATCAAATACTGGAGCAAAAGCCTTGGGAACCCTCCAGGGGAGGGTGTGGTGTAGACTGTTGGTCGAAGCCATTTCCATGCGATTCCAGCAAGCCTGGGAATGCTGAAGAACCTGCAGACATGGGTCTCTCCCTCAGCCCCTTCAGCCGATGGGAGTGCATGTCCCCGGGTGGGCAAAGGGTGCCCAGGGGACAGACTAAGCAGCTCCTGATGAATGGAAAGCTGGTTTGGGAAGCTTCTAGAGCAACAGCTTAATGACGAGCAACTATTTCCCATGTTGAGGAAGCCGAAGAGCAGAGTGTGCAGTAGCACACGTTTTGAGCAGCACACGCTTTGCTGTATCACCCAGTTCACTGGACCATGGTAAGGTCCTTGTCACCTAAGGATGACTCAGAAGCACCTGCAGTGGCAGTTGATTCTGTCTGGGAAAATAGACCCATTCATGGTGGTGTCTGACTGGAGAGATGGTGAGGGACCTGACTAGCCACGAGCGCGTAGGCCCTGATGGACTATAAGCAGTGTCTAGATCAGTCACCTGTGACAGACAGAGGCACACAGGCCACTTGCTCCCAGTTGCCTGTGCACGACAGGAAGGCGGGCTGCTCTGTGTGGCTGAGATATAGGGTTAATGCACTGGGAAGTAAGAGGTGAGGCAAGAGGCAAGAAAGGGGATCCCACACCCCACATTCAGGAGCTGTGACTTTGTTCTGAAGATGAGGAGCCAGTCGCTCACGGGTTCTGCGCGGGGAAGGGCCGTGTTTCAGAATCACACTGTGGAGTCCCTAAGAAAGGTGGGAGGGAGAGGCTGGAAATGGGAGGCTGACACAGGGACAAAATGTCCAGCGTCTTAAACCAGGGCAATGGCAGAGAAGGTGAGTAGAGAAGCCAATTCCAGAATCGTTTTAGAGCCGAGGTAGACCACAATGAGCAAGCAGTGCAGGGAAGAGAGGACGTCTTGAACGACAGGTGGGTGACCAGGAAGTCCCCAATGCCTTCCTAAGTGCTTGGCACTTCGGCGAGCTAGGGACTCTCTTGGTCACGGGCACACTGGCCCTTCCCCAGCATCCCTGTTGGCCCCTGGAGGTTCTGACTGCAGGGAGAGAAGGGCTGGCTGGCCAGGCCCCTGTCGGAGAAAGCACACAGCACCATCTCAGAGGAGGCTGGGATCTAATCTCTTTATTGTCAGGGTCCCTCCTTCTTCCAATCTATAGAAAAACCCCACACCTGGGTGAGTCCTGGGGAGGAGAGGCAGGGGTGTGGAGACCGCTGTGCTCCGGGGCAGTACAGACGAGGAGGGTGTGCGGGGGCACGGGGAGGCTGCCAGCTCTCCTCTGGTACCCACTGGGAGTAGGCACCCAGAGATGCATGCCCTTCTGCCGGTGGCCTTCATTCCTGTCAGGCTGAGAAAGGGGGAGACAGAGAAGCAGCTCAGGCTGAGAGGAAGAGTCCCTGCTGATGTGCTGACAGGGGCCACCTGGAATTCACAGGTATGCCTGGGCTTGGCCAGTCTCTCCCCTCCCTGGGTGTGCGTCTCCTTCCCGAGGCCCTGCACGTGTACCTCACTTAGCCTCTGTGGCAAGGCTGCACTTGCAGAACCTTCTAGCTAAATGCTCCAGGATGCACTCCTGGAGCATCCTGTGTGGAGCGCCTGACCCAAGAAGGTGTTTGGTACCAAGACACCAACTTGGGAGCCCTGGTGTTTGAAACTGACCTTGTCCCCAGGCCCAGCCTGTCTTCACTGAGCATGGCCTGGCCTCCCTCGTGGACAGGACAGAGGAGGGTGGTGAAGTGTGATAAGTGAGAGCTTTGAGGCCACACAGCACTGCTTAACATCTAAGTTCTACTAGGGACTACCTCGAGACCGTGCAAGAAGTGTGCTGCTCCCTGCACCTGTTGGCATCCTGACATGATTAGTCAGATAAAGCAGGTGTGTGCAGGGCACGGGACCATCCAACCCCCTCATCCTGGTACATATGGCCCTTCACAGCGGCTCCTCTGATGAGCAGCAGTCTTCCTCCCTGGCTGCAGAGCGGGGCTGTGTCTGTAGGAGGCTCCTGGCCCTTTCTCACATACCAAGGGCCCTCACCCATCTGGGCCTCTGCTTGGTGTGAAATGCCTCCCTTAGCCTCCAGCTGGCTCAGCAGCACTTTTACCAGCACAGCCCTCAGGGCGCTGGCTAAGTCAGGCTCCTCTGCACTGCCAGGTACTTTCCTACACTCACTATGGGGACCAGTACTAGGGGGAGGGGGGCCTTGCTAGTATTTCCATGATTCTGTAGCCTCGGTACCCCCCCACAAGTTGAGTAGCAGGATGGCTGGGAATGGAAGGGCTACCTGAGCAGGTCTGCTCCCTGGACCCTGCCCACCAGGGCCTCCATACCTGCTTACTGCAAGGCACCGTCCTCCACATCTGTGTCCTGGCTGTGCTCCTGGCAGAGAGGAGGCAATAAGAGAGCAGACATCAGTCACCGCCGGCTCTGAGTCCCGCTCTGGGCCACAAGCACCCAAGGTCCCAGAGCACAGCCCAAGAACTGACTGCAGAACCAACTGGCTTGGGAGCCTGAGGAGCAGACAGGAGAAGAGGCCCAGGCACGAACTGGGCCAATTTCTGTGCCCACAGGCCATTTTAGAGTTGGAGCAGGCTGGACGCTGGGGAGGCGTGTCCCCTACTGGGCTGCTGACCCTTCAAAGGTGAGGGCCTTTAAAGAGTCCTGTGCCTACAGAGGAGAGGGCTTTGGCTGAGTTCAAAGGAGGAGGCCCAAGGTGTGAGAAAAATCTCCATTGTCAGGGCCATAAACCCTGCATCCTTGAAGCCAGCAGAGATGAAAGGGACAAAAATTCAGCTGGGGAAGCCATCTGGGCTCTCAGTCCCTACTACCAGGTGCTAAACCAGCTATCCATTCCTCTGAACCTCAGTTTCCTCTCAGGGTGAACTGTGGGATGTGATCTGCGAGGCATGGCCATTACTAAGGCCCCGGGGAGGGTAGATTCTGGGGCTCACTATGTCAGCGGTGGCAGTACTCCGCAGAACCTGGCCCTCCCACCCACTCCAACACAAACCCCATGCCCAACAGTGAGCAAGCCTCGCTGGGACTCCAGCCCCAGACAAAGAGAGCAGCCCCTCAGGAGAGCGTCTGTCTCAAGCTTGGCAGCAATAGCTTTCCCAGAGTCCTTCCATGGGTGTGGCAGGCACTTCCTCAGGCCAGCCCCAGGGAAGGCACCGCCCAGGTTTGCCCCTTCCCTGCTGTCCCCCTTATGCCCGTCATGTCCATGGCCGGGCCCTCACCAGCTCCTCCTCGCTGTGTGTCAGCAGCCCCTCCTCATCGCCATCATCGCGAGCCTGGGCTTCTCCCTGGGGCGTGCCTGCCTCGGAAGCTGTGTCCTCCTGAGGGGCTGGTGGCCGGCTGTTACTGCCACTGCCACCGCCACCGCTGCTGGAGCCGCCGCCACTGCCACCACCACCGCTGTTGCTGCTTCCGCCACCACCACTGCTTTCACCCTTCCTCTTGCCATCTAAGGGGTGGGAGGAAGTGAACTCAGCCCAGAAGACACTGGGCCTCAGCCTGGCAGGTCCTGATGGGCCAGTCTGCAGCCCCCATCTCCTCCCCACTGCACACTGCCCCACCCTCGGCCCTAACCTGGGTTGGCCTTTTGCTCCTCGGCAATCTGCTCCAAGCGGCCCAGCAGGGCGTCGATGTTGGACTTGATCTGTGTCAGCTCTGTCTTGATGGTCTGCAGCTCACTGCTCTTTACTGGGAGTGGAAGAGGAACGGAACTGTCAATGGGGGCTGTGGGTCGGGAGGCGGACACCAACATAGGAGCCCACGCCTACTTTGGAACTGGGAAGGCTGGAGCAGGGCAGAGGCACAAACTGTCTTCATCCACTGCTCCAGGGCCAGGGCGATTCGGGAGCTGCCTATAGGCTGCCCCACTGGACCAGGGCCCCCTCTCGCGGGGCTGCTCCCTGCCCCAGGGGCAGCTGGGCGGGAGATATGCTTCTGCGCAGCGAGCAGTGTGTGTGCCAGAGGAGCTGTCTCACTCTCAGTGTGCACACAGGGTTTCTGCAGTCAGACTTCCCGGGTGCCCATGTGGCGTGCCTCCTGGCCACAGTAGGTGTATGCCAGAATGAACGCCGTGTCATGAGCCTGCCCTTTTTCCAGAGAAAAGACGACACCATGCGTCCAACCCAAGCCCCTCCTCCTCACACGGCAGCCTTCTCCTTAGAAATACAATGAAGATACTCACTTGGTTGAGTTAGGACTGCGGAACGGGGGGAGGTTTGTTCCTTTATCTATTTTCCAATGTAGAAAAATGTGATTCTATTATTTTGCTAGTGACAAAAGTAACAAGTACTGCGGAGGAAAACACAGTCACTCACACTTGATCTTGGCTGAGCCGCTGCTGATGGCTGTGGAGCGGGCAAAGAGCTTGACAGGTATGGTAGTTTTGACACGCCGGACCAAAGGGACTGTGACCCGGGGTCGCTTCACAGGGACCGCCCTGGGCACTGGCACAGGTGACAGACGGCCCCTATAGTCGAAGAGCCTGTGAGGACAAACAGGCCAGAGGCTGCAGTATGGCCTGTGGCCACCAGGGGACACTGTGGCTCTCGCCCAGCCAGTGTGGGCTTTGTCTAGCACTGCACCCAATGGCCTGCTCTCAACAAGCCTTGGGGTGAAGAGGCAGGGCGACTGGGCCCTGGTGGCTGCAGAGACTTTCACTGTGCCTCTCCTACCAGCCAAACCAGGCAGGTGAAGTGGCAGATGGTAGAGGTGAGGAGTAAGCTGGGGCAAGCCCCAAGAAGAAAGCTCTTCTCTTCTGGATTGCTCTGGCATGCAGGCCTGCTCTGGTCCATGACCCTGCTTCCGCTCATCAACTGCCACCCCAACCTCTGTCAGTTTCACCATCTCCCACACTGGGAACAGGAACATCCGAGAGTGGGGGCCTGTCCTAGCCTGGCTACCACCCCGTGTTTCCATCTGCCTATGGACGACAGCTCTGTAGGCAGATGTGTGTGAGCCTGTAAAGGCATTCATTCCAGAAGGTGAGGGCAGTAAAAGGCAAGGGTCTCAGAGACCCTCAACTCTGGATACCATGACCTCAGAGACATGGGGCTGGGGTCCAAGCCACTTTCCTTATTCTGGGCCCTTTTGGTCAGCCTGGCCCCTGGCTCCACTTTAAGAGAAGGAGGCCAGGAGGCCCAGGGGGAACTAAGCGTGTACAGACACACTGAGCCCAGGGCGCCCAGACTGCGTGCTGTCCTCTTTCTGCTGACCAAGTAGGAGATTATCTCCCTTCCTCTTCCTGAAGTGAGTGGCAGCTTCCCAGGGGGTACCAGGAGGCCTGCCATCCCTAGGCAGCTGCTTGCCCCATTCCTCGATAGTCTTGTCCCAGAAGGCCCTGGTCTGGGGTGGGGATGGCTGGAGATGGAGAGTCTCTGGGAATAGGCCCAGTCCTAGACCCTGCATTTCTGCCCCCAAGGGGAGGGGGCGGCTCTGGCCTGGGTCAGAATCACTGAACCACAGAACCCCAGAGCTGGAGGAGCCCTGAGAGACCATCTGGTGCAAGCCCATTTCAGAGACTGGGAAAGAGATTTGCCCCAAATCACATAACCATTCAATGGCAGAGCTGGGATTAACATCTAAGTCTTAGAGGCTAGGTCCCGTCTCACTACCCAGCACTGCCTCCTGAAACCACCTGCTGTGGGCCACACTTGGGGGAGGGGAAGCAGGGAGGAGGGTTGTTTGGGCCATGATGATCACTCCACATCGTGGCTGGTGTGGTGCATGGGAGCGGGCATCCAGGGCCTTACAATCAGGGTCTGGACAGGCTTGAGGATAGAGGGGGAGCTACGGCCTACCAGGGACTGATTTTCAGATGCCAAAAGGCATCAAGGGCTGTAGCCTCTGGGCTATACATATTAAGGCAAAGAGGCTCCTGACTAAGCGCTTTGATTCCACCTCAGGGAGCAGGAACCCCAGAAGTCAAACTTCCTGCCACTGGGTTTACTCCTGCTGCTGTGGTCATCACTCTTAACTGTTGAGTCCCTGCAGGTCTCACCCGCCACGGAGGGTGGTGGTGGTGGTGGTGGTGGTGGGGCGGTAGCCAGAACGGAGATGGTGGCGTGGTGTGGTGTGACATGGTGGTGGGATCTTAGCCCCCAGCTCTGCCACTGATTTGCTGGGCAACCTTGAGCAAATGCCTGTCTACCCCTCTGGGTTTCAGCTTGCACTTGGAGGGCTGAGTGGGCAGCACCAGCAATCTCTCAGGGCCCTTCCAGCTTGGCTGTTTCATGCCTGGGCACGCCCCTCCCCTGCTCACCTGTCGTAGAAGTCGTCCCGGTAGTAATCAAAGTCAAAGCTGTAGCCACTGAGGAGACAAAGGGAGAGGGCCGGGGCTTAGGAATGGCCACTCCACCCACTCTCCACAGGCCCTCATCGCTGCTCTCCTCCCAGTCAGTGCCAGGCTCAGCACCCTGTCATCGCCAGTACTCACTCCCTCAGGCAAGAGGGGAGGGCCCAGTGCCACCCAGACGGTCAGAGCGCCCCACCTGTATATGGCAGATGCTGCTCTCTTGAGCCCCTTGGGTCTGTTGGGCTTGGGCTCTCCGGCCATGTTGATGTCTGTGTGGAAGGCAGAGTCAAGAGTCAGAATGCTGGTGTGACAGCAGCGTCCCCCATATTTCTCACCCTCAGGCACATACGGGCACTACTCACTTCGCATACATGAATACAACATGAATACAACAGCAAGGGCCTCTAGCCATTCAGTCCTCTATAATAGGAGACTTATACTCAGACGTTGTAAGAGTCTGTTTATAAGCACCCAGGAATCCATACACAGACATACCTTCACATACACACATGGCAATGTCACACAGGCAACATGTTTTTTACACGCACATGCAGACTCAGCTCCAACATCCAACCCCAAACTGCTACATACAACTAACTGTCCACCCAGATGGCGTCCTGCCAAACAGTTTTATGCCCAGAATGATGCCTAGGGCGTGCTAAGCACTCAATAGCTATTTGGTAAATGAATATATGCCTATCTGCTCCTCCCACTCAAATCATGACACACGGATGTATAGCACACATACATACACAAAGACACTTGTCCACATAGCTCTACATGCGTGGCCATATTTTCACACCACATACTCAGGAATCCATATTAGTGATCCCTTCTCAAACATACACATACACACGTTTGTGTCCCTACATGCACACTATGCGCACTCGAGGATGGTCCTAAGGTGGTTTAACACAAAGCCAAGGGTACTGCTCCATCCCAGCCCCGCTCCTAGTAGCTCTCAGAAAGGGTTCATCTGTAGACCAGTGTTGCTGTTAGCTGTGCTATTATTCCACTCTGTTCCCTTGCTCTGCATTTTAAATGGGATCACCAGGCTTGTCTTTAAGAGACACTGGGAGAGAAAGAAGGTCAGGACAAAAAAGTGTCTAGGCGCTTCTAAAATTCTCCCCTCCCAGCAGCAGTTTTATCGCTACCTCATGTACAAGTCCGTAAGTTAGGCATCTCAGTGAGGTGCCAGTGGGGGATAAGGGGGATTGGGCTGTGGGAGGACTTACCCAAGGTCTGCCCGGCCAGCACTCGCCCGTTCTCTCCCAGCACAGCTGCCCGGGCATGGCGCTCGTTGGCATACTGGACAAAGGCATAGCCCTTGTGCACGGAGCAGCCGGCCACACGGCCATACTTGGAGAAGATGGTCTCTACATCGGACTTCTTCACCACAGCCGTGTTGAGGTTTCCAATGAAGACTCGCGAGTTGATGGACTTGGGGTCATTCTTGTTGGTTACGTTGCTCGTCTGAATCTTCAGGGACATGGTGGCCACCTGCACAGACAGCTATTATCAGGCTGGGCTCAAGAACTGTCCATGGTGCCTGTCCCTGCTAACCTGGAGCCTGCTTCTCTCCTCCACACAAGCCTGCGGCACCAGGCTCCCAGCTTTGACTCACCGTGTTGTCTTTCTTACCAAGGACTGCCACTTACTGGCTGCTTGCCTCAGGCAAGGGGCTGTACAGGAGTGCCCTCATGTGGCACTCCAAGGAAGGGAAACCACTTCACGTTGTTGTAAAGGAAACTTGCCTTCAGGTCACAGTGAATAGCAGGGCTGGGATCAGAACCACTGTTTAAAAACCCATCCCCCCTTTCTTGAATGCTCATGTCAAATGTCACCCATTTAGGATTCCCCACAGCTTAGTTTTTCTGCTCCCTCAATCTAGAACCATGGCAAAGGCTCACCTGGCAATTGCAACTCATGTTTGCTCTAGGACAGTGGTTCTCAAACTTCCTAATGCCGCAACCCTTTCATACAGTTCCTCATGTTGTGGTGATCCCCAACTATAACATTACTATGTTACTACTTCATCATGGTCATTTTGCTACTGTTATGAATCAGGCAACCCCTGTGAAAGGGTTGTTCGACTTCCAAAGGGGCCACAACCCACAGGTTGAGAACCGCTGCTCTAGAATAACTCCAGATTATACAAAGTGCTCTCACTCTGAGCCACAAAGGAATAGCCGCAATGCACTGCTGTGTAGTCCAGTCCAGCCCAGCCCAGC